AAGTAAGTTCTTTTGGGTAAATTTCGGTATTATATTTACAGAACTCTGGATTATTTAATGAAAAAATATCATCTAGATAACGGAAGGTATTGTTGAATGTATCAACCAAATGTAACAATGACGTGTCTTTTGTCCCTCTGGTATCTTTCGTCCCTCTTTTACTGAGTTTGGTCATAAACTGAGATTCATAGCAATACAGGAATAAATCTGCTATTAAAGGGGCGCAGTTAGTGCCTATAGGAATACCTACTACCTGTCTATACACTTTATCGCCGAAACGTACATATATGTTGTCCAGGAGAAAATTTAAAGCTTCAATCATATTTCCAGGAAGTGTATCTAGCATACATTCCTTTTTGTTACAGAAAAAAGCTTTAAACGAGTTACAGCAAATAAATTTGTTTTGAGATTTTTCAAAAGACCATTTAATTAAATATGAAAACTTTTTCTTGATAAGATTGTGTGGAAGTGTACAGTACAACCTGTGACTTCCTCTTAGTTATGTACACCCTCTTGTATGGTCACCATCGAATGGTGGCCATTTATTGGGGTATTCAATCTTGAGATGTTAGCCATTTATTGGGGTCATAAACATAGGTTGATGTTTTATCTTATTATGTTACCTGTTGAAACCAATCAGGGTTGAAGTTTTCAGCTTGTATGTTTCATTAAAATTTACCTATACAGGTAACTCAGGTTTCTTCTCAAATTGACATTTCACCTTTTCTTGAAAATGTAGAATAGAATGTTTGTTTTAGTCTTTGTTAATTCATATCATTTGTTGATTTTTCTGTCTTTAAATTTACATATTTTCTTTTTTTCTAATGTTTTTCTTTTTTTATGTTATTATTAGGTCTTTCCACTTTTCTGTGGAAAGACCTATTGTATTTGTTCTGATTATTAGGTCTTTCCAGTTTTCTGTGGAAAGACCTATTGTTTTTGTTCTGATTATTATTATCATTTTCTTCCGCCAAATTTTATCCTCGCGTAACATTTTTGTTTCGCAATATGTCGCTAAGATATTTCTTATATAGTATCATACAGTTTATGCGCTTTTTATTTTCATCCATTCTAAGCCGAACAATTTTCTTTGTAAGAGTTATCTCCCCAAACAGTGTTTTCCTTGTGACTACATCTACTCCGTAAAGGCAAAAGAAAGCAACAAATTTATTTTATAAAATTGCTCGTTATATCCTTCGCATGATTTGTCCTATGTTGACCAAAGCGATATGAACACTCCATATGAGAGTTATTTCCCCTTATGCATGTGATGTAAGTAATATGCATTTCTAACTGGTAAACCATAAGTGATAGAGACATAGGGTCTTTTGATTTGAGGTCCTTGGTCCAAAAAAATGAAAATTAGATCAAGGTCAAAGGTCAAGGTCACATTCTAAATTTTGATTTTGGCTTATTTTCACTTACTTCCAAAAACCGTACAAGATACCGGGTATATAGGGTAATATGATTAAAGGTCCTTGGTGTATGACCTTGAAATTGAGCTCAAGGTCAAAGTTAAATTTGATGTTCTAGATTTTGACCTTTGCTTTAACTTCATATTTAAACACGATAAAGCCATGGGACTTTTTTTATTAGGTTGCAATTTACATAACCTTGTAAAGCCAACCGGAAGTGAACTTGTGTAAACCGGAAATAGCTTTGTTTTCTACTTATTTGATGTAAAGTGTATTGAACAATATATTTTTGGAATCAGTATCAAGTAAACTATCAAATAAAAGCGGAAGTGCCATATTTCAAACCGGAAGTAACAATTTATCTCCTTTATTTAGAAAATAATGTATAGAAATCATATATTTTTGGAATCAGTTTACAATAAGCTATCATTTGACGCTGGATATATTATTTCAAACTGAATTTTCATAGTTCTATTTCAAAATTGATCTGTATGGGTGGAAAGACCTTCAATTGTTCTCTGAACAATTGGTTTTTAATTATTATTATTATTATTTTCTTCCGCCAAATTTTATTCTCCCATAAAAATTTTTTTCGCAAGATGTTGCTAAGATATTTCTTATATAGTATCATACAGTTTATGCGCTTTTTATTTTCACCCATTCTAAGCCGAACAATTTTCTTTGTAGGAGTTATCTCCCCAAACACTGTTTTCCTTGTGATTGCATCTCTTCCGTAACCGTAAAGAAAGCAACAAATTTATTTTATAAAATTGCTTGTTATATCCTTTGCATGATTTTTCCTATTTTGACCGAAGTGATATGAATATTCCATATGAGAGTTTTTTCCCCTTATGCATTTGATATAAGTGATATGCATTTCTTTTTTGTAAACCATAAGTGATAGAGACCTAGGATCTTTTGATTTGAGGTCCTTGATCCAAAAATAAGAAAATTAGGTCAAGGTCAGAGGTCAAGGTCATATTTTAAATTCTGATTTTGGCTTATTTTTAATTCTTTTCAAAAACCGTATAAGATATCGACAACATATTTTTACTAAATTGTAAGTTGCGACATGTCGTAACACATAAATTTTGGTTAAACGAGTATGCTAACATTAAATTGAAGTTTTCTCCCCTCTTTTATTAAAAGTTAAGCATATAGTGATATAACTCATTAACCATATATAATTAAGACCTATAGTCTTTTGATTTGAAGCCCTTGGTTTATGACCTTGAAATTGAGCTCAAGGTCATAGGTAAAATTGACGTTCTAGATTTTGACCTTTGCTTTTACCTCATATGTATACATGATAAAGCCATGGGACTTTTTGCATTACGTGGCAAGCCACTTGACTATGGAAAAGCCAACCGGAAGTGACCTGGTGTAAACCGGAAGTAGCCATTTTGTACTTATTTAATGTAAAAGTATATTGAACCATATATTTTTGGAATCAGTATCAAGTAAACTATCAAATAAAACCGGAAGTGACATTTTTCAAACCGGAAGTAACAATTTATCTCCCTTATTTAGAAAAAAATGTATAGAAACCATATATTTTTGGAATCAGTGTCAATAAGCTATCATTTGACGCTGGATATGATATATCTAACTGAGTTTTAATATTTCAATATCAAAATTGATCTTTATGGGTGGAAAGACCTTCAATTGTTCTCTGAACAATTGGTTTTTAATTATTTTTTATTTGTTTTTTAGCTTCTTATTCTTTTAATTTCTTCTTGGAAATAATCTTGAGTAGAAATGACAAAAATTCAAAGATAAGTTATTGACTAGCATTTGAAAACAAAAGAGAGAATCCTTTAAATAATTATTTTTTCAGTAAAAAATAAGTTATTGTACATGATGTACATGGTATTCTATTGTTCGTTTGCATTATGAAATGAATTAGTATTCATTATAACTTATAATCATGCAAATGATATGTTTAAAGGAACCATGAAGCAAGTAATTTAACAAGCCAGTTTATTCACAAATTTAAATTATCAATATCATGAATATCAATCCTTTTACAATAAATTTTGTTAACCAAGTTATCATGATTATTATTCAGGAAAACTACAAATATCATTATATGGTATAGGAATAAACTATTTTTGTTTATCTTTGATATTTTTCAAATCTCAAAACGAGTTTTGCATGGAGAATCACTAAAGAGACTTACAAAGAAATTATCTAAAGAAAAAATTGTCTTGTTTTTTGAAACAATTTTAAACTTATCAAATATGTTATCTTCAGTTTGGCTAATTTTGTCAGTTAACAGGCAAAATTTGTCTCCAGAAAAAATAAAGTACACTTCTATATAGATTGTGACATTTTTATGGTCTATTAATTATATCACTTTTTGTTCTGTGTATTATATTGTCGAAACTGCAGGACTGGCATATGCATGATAAATATTCTTGGTATACATTTGCAAAGAATATTTCACTCAACTCAGGCCTTTTAGATAAAGTTAATAATTGCAGGGACTTGAATGAATTAGATTCTTTAAAGCCCTTGATTAAAAATGTATTTTAAGAACAAAAATAAGAATATTTTTGAAAATAAAATAAAAACTTATGATGAAAACAGTAAACTCAAATGCTTCACTAAGTAAAGAATTAGTGGTCATAATTTAGAAATAGAAAATGTTGAATAAAAATTCCTATACAGGATAGAATTGTTTGTAAAATTAACATAACAACTTAGAGATAATCTTTTTGAAAATTGTTTACCCCGAATAATGTCTCTGTGACCAGTTTATGAATAAAATCTTGAATCTTATGAATAAAATCTTAACCAAGAACAAAAAGTAAAAAAAATGCTAAACCTCTATAACATGGAACTTTTAAAATATTGGCTCCTTTATTAAAGAAAGTCATTAGAACTGAGGGCAGAAACCTAATAACTTTTTTCCATGTGTTTTGATTTCTTATAGAATTGTTATTTCTTTGCATTATAATGTTTGTTTTGTTTTTTTTTGTTAGAAACTTGATTAAATTGTAATATGTTTATATGACAAAATGAATAAAAAAATTATCAAATTGTTCTGTAATGAATATTTTGAATATACATGTATTTATTCAATAGAGAAATAATGAATTGCCTAAATTTTATTTAGAATAAGTCCTAAAGATAATCTTAAACATTTGTTAAACAATGTTAAATGCAGTAAGTATAAACAATTTTGATTTTAGAAAATTAATTTGAGAAACACCTTTTCAATGGAAAAAGACCAGCGTTGTGAAAGTTTGCATTATATCAGAAGATGATATTCATTTATTATTCACTTGCCAAAAAAAATACATGTAAATAATAACTTAAACTGATAGAATTATTTAAAAGTTATAACATCAAAACACACATTTGCAAACAGTCATGACAAAATTTTTACAAAAAAAGTTAGGAAGCTTTATGTTCAACTAGTTTTATTATTTCATTTTATTTTAGAATTTTCTTGTCATAATCACAGTTATTAAATTTGACAAACACAAAACGTCATATATTTTCCTTGAGACACTTTACCTGTAAGTTATGTAATTTTAACATTTCAATGCAGTCATGATTTCTCTTTATCCTTGACCTATGTCACAGGTAGTACTGTAGTATAGAGAGTAGAACAATTATAACTGTCAACAGAATTAAAAGGACCACCAAAAGCATGTATTTTATCTAAAACCTCTAAAGAATTTTTAACACTCCAAAAATAATTAATACCATTATTTTCATAAGCTTTATTACAAAAGTTAATAACAAGTTCTTTGATAGTAGTAAGGGAGGTAGTTAGAAGCACTGATAGTTTGGTAGTAGAACACTTACTAGATGCGGAGATGAAACGGAATTTAAATGTTTTTTTGTGCAATTTAGGTAACCAGTACATAGTAGGGACTTTCAAATGTTCGGAAGAGGCTTTAAGCTGGGTAGTGGCAGTGATATACTTGTTTACAATTTGACTCTCTGTGGAGCGTACGGACCTGAATGTAGATGAATTTGTAATTTCGTTTTGGAGAACTTCCGTGTAGTATATGCGTCACACCACCACTACATTATTTGCTGCTTTGTCTGCTGGTACGAACACAAACCGCTTTGCGAGTACTTGGAGTTTATTTTTTATTCTAGAAATGGGAATATCATGGACCCTATTACTAATTTCAGAATTGTTTTCAAAATGAGATATACGAATATTAGCAGTATTCATAATTTTTTTCAAATAACTGTCTAGAGATTTTTTATCAGATTTTTCACGTTTACAACAATTTTTACAGTAGACAGACAGAGCGTCTTTAATGACCTGACGACACTGTTTCCAATCTATTTTAGATGGAGGACGGTATTTCGGTCCTTTCTTAAGAAAAGTTATGACCTCACGGTCTTCGACGATGTTGAGGTCTCCTGTAAGGACATGACCATAGGGAACATATCTAAAACTAGATGTTTCACAGTCTCAAGTGGAAGGAGCATTATTTTCTATATTGACATCTGATATAACTGACGTATAATTAAAAATCAAACTTCTGCTGTTTTTTTTTTAATAAGAATACGAAATAATAGGTGGTTCTATATTATCAAAATATGGAGGTATTTGGATTTGGATGGTAGAGTCATTGAATATACTAGATAAGTTAATAAAATCAATACCTCTATTTATATATTTTAATTTAAGAAAATGCCGTTTATGATTTTCAGGTTTATCGATACTAGGAAATAGCCTATGATGACAAAATGCTGTAATAATACGGGTGTATTCATACATTGAGCTAAAAAAAGAAATTTTATCACACTCCAGAAAAATAGCATATAATTTACTTATTGGTATCCTACCCAGTTTGCATAATACTTGATGTCTGCCATTATTTTTTATTATAGATAACAGATCAGCAAGTGTATAATTTATACGATGTTTAATACGTTGATTACGGTTTTTGCGTTTGCCATGAGACCTTTTATTTCTAAGTCGTTTATCGACAATATTAATGACATCGATTGAAGTTTTAGTTATGTTCCCCTGTCCTAATATTTTGTCATTAAGACAGAGAGGATAAGCTGTTTGAAGTCTTTTTATCCAAAATAATTCGCGAACTTCACGTGATTTTTCAAATTGCTTGTGTGATTCTCCTGGTTGTTTGTGAACGGTCTCAAGTGGTTGGAATTTTATAAATTTTAGATTGTGATTATGCTTATCTAAATGTTGATATATCAAACTTTTGATTTTTTTTAGGTCTACGAAAGCGGTAAAGGTGTTCTTGATTTCTTTTGTAATACTCTCGTCCCGTCTGTCCCACATATTGAATACCACACTTAGGTTGGGTTCAAGTTACCACATATATTAGGTTTTGAGTTTTTCAGGTAATGTCACAGGAAAAGGAGAGCAAAAAAGCTCTCCCATTCACTGTTGACCTTACAGTATTTTGTGAAGTTAATCTAAAACAGGTTAGTCACTTTTTGGCATTGTACGGGAAAATTTGTGGATATCCACATGCATTTTTGTTAAACAATCTGGCTATAGAGGCATTACAAATACGTTTGTTTAAGCACGTGGATATCCTAGAAGTAGTGTTGTTAATAATTTTCTTTCCATTACGTAAAATCATGATAATAGGGGTATAGGAAAAATAAAAAAGACCGGAGGTTGTAACAATGAATAAGGATCACAATTACGGAATAGGAAATAATAGGCAAAGCAGTAAAAGAACTCTTACAAAAACTGTTATAAAAGGCCCGACGTAAAGACTTAAGTATTACAATACTGACATATAACAAACACAGGGCAAAAACATTGTAAGTAATCTTAGTAAAACCATAGCAGGGGGCAATAATAAAAATAGCAGGCGTAGATGAGTATTTATACATCCAAACCCCATAATATATAATTAACAATTAAAAACAAAGATATAATAAACATGTGAAAGCTCTCTCACAGGCAAACAACCCATAATTGAAAAATATAAGGGCATACACCACAAGCACGGGGACACATTCTACTGCATCCACACAGCACGAGCAACAAACCCTTGAGTAAATAGATATAAGAAGATGTGGTATGAGTGCCAATGAGACAACTCTCCTACACGTTTTATACCAACAACCGATGTTTATTGAACCTTAGAAAAAAACCCACTGTTATTGTATGTTATTGTAAACCATTATATATTTGTTTCTTCTATTTCCCTAAGTTATCTTACTTTTCTGTATTATTATTCTTATCACAAATAACTTCGTACTCGGCACAAGCTCCTGTTCATAATGTTTTTGATTTAAATATAGACGGAAGTACAGCGGCTGATAAAACGGTGTTTCAAGGTGTAATTGTTATCCCTTTGAAAAAAGTTCTCGGGCTAGCTTTTAGCAACTGGGGATATTCTTTGATACAATATTATTATTTGCCTGATAACCGTAAATTTGCTATCTATAATATAAAGATATAGACCAAGGAGCGTTTTTCTGAACCGCCTTAAATGCACTTAATTCTGTGAATTTTGTATTCCATTGATCGAGTACTATAACCTTATATTCTTTTTTTTTTATCTACATTTTTATTTAAAAGTTGGAAACACTAAAATTATAATTAGTTTTATGGCTCATAAATAGTTTTGAGGCCTAGACATTGTGATTGCACGTTGAAAGTTTTTGTAAAGTCAATACATTTCACAATCACAGAAAGTTTCAATACATATACAGACAAATTCTAGTTACATCATTATATATTTGTTAATTGAAGAAATAACAAAATGTTTAAATTGAGAAGGATTAAACATGACATAACCCTCAACTCAAACAAATTTATACTTGTTTTACAACAATGACTACTATATCCTCTTTGACATGACATATGCTTTTATGGTCATAGGTACCATGAATGCATCGTTTTGCACAAGGTATTTCCTCCACAATATCTTTTAATGTCTTATTACATATTTTTGAACAATCGTTTCTACTAAAAGCTGTTTGTTTGTTGTTTTGGCAGCACATTAAAGTTTCTCTTTTTCTAATACCGTCACAAGGACGAGCGCACCTTGTCCAAAGTAAATGCATTCCAAGATCACAAAAATTAACTCCCTGACCACATTCATCATCACACCAAAAATAAGGAACGAAGAGGGTAACAATCAACAAATGAAGCATTTCGACAAATTGAAACGTATATCGTTTATGAGAAGTATAACTAGATAAGTGTCAACAAATTATTCTATATAAGCGACGATAATGTGAGCCGTCAGTCTTTCTTCGCTTATATTGCGCAGGGTTCTTTTAATGTGTCAGCAGTTTTGTTTTATTTCTAAACTTGATTATATTCTTGTATTGCATTCCAGAATACAATAAATTTGTCGACTTTTATTGAGTAGTTTTACAAGGGTCTTGTATTGTAATTTTCCTAACAATCTTATAATCTAATATGAGTTTTCATATAGCGTTTTAGAATATTAAAAAAAAGAATACCATGCTTATTATAGAGAAAAACAGAAAATAAGTTTACCAAATAATCGTATATTTTTAAGCCCCAACCGCAAGGCGAAAGGGCATTAAGTGTTACCCTTGACCGTCCGTCCTTCCGTCCGTCCCATTTTTGTTTGAGCGGGGGCGTTCGTGTCCTCAGACACATTCTTCTATCATCTCATTTTGTTTTGGAAGTTCGTCATGTCCCGACTCCAGATCATAGAAATTACTAATTTTGTTTTACGTCAATACACTTGATAGCAATTGAAATACACATTTTATAAAGTTCGTGACTTGAAGCGCTTTTCTGGATTAACCTTCACCAAAAACGCCCAAACCTTCACATTTAAAAGCCATTGATCAGTAAAAACGCTGCAACGTTTGGAACTATATGACCTAAAAAAAAGACCTAAACAGAATAGCCTTATTCATCTAAAGTTAACATTTTCTGAGGTAATGAGAGGTAACCAAAAACATCTGCGTTTACTTTGAAATTGAAACTTATGACTTATGATTTTGAATAGACTTTGCAATCAAAGCACACGTCTAGGGAAGGGATCAGTAACATGAATAGTTTAAGCATCTTTAATATATTGAGTTATTATAATTGTATAAATATGAAAATAAGGAGATGTGGTATGATTTTCAATGGGACAACTATAAACCAGAGTGTATCCATCAGTTTAAAAAGATTGAATGAATGGATGCTTAAAGGTTTTTATATTGAATGAAACATAATACCTCTAGACTAATGTTGAACCTTACGGGTGCTTATATTCTACGTAGGGGACTACAATCGATCGTGCAGTATTTGACAGTGTTAAATAATCATATTTCTTGATATTAGTATTTGGGAGGAAAGAATGTGTTCAACAAAGAAATAGAACTGGACAGTATGACTTGAAAAGGGGTCTAAATAATTGAAATAAATGATAAATATTACTTACCAAAATCACATTCACTTCCGCTGTATCCAGGATCACATGTGCAGGAATACCCATTGATATGATCTAGGCAAGTACCATGGTGACATGGAGATGATTTGCATTCATTTATATCTAAAACGTAAAATATTACGAGTTGTTCAAAACAAGATCTAAATGAAAGCGCATTTTGTCCTAATTTTTAAGATCCCATGTTTCTGTATTTGTTTAATGTCGCGTTTTACACCTACAGATCATTGTGTGCATATCTAAGAGAATATAAGGATTGTCTGTGTTCTGAACTGTATTAGTTCTTTAATCATTTAGCTTTTATCAAAAACAGTAATTTATCACGTAACTTCATCTTCTAGAACTATAGTTTGACATTACCGAATATAATGTACTACCGGATATTTAGTTGTCACGAATTCTACTAGTCGAACTAAAACTACTTGCCTTTCTATAGTATACAAAGGTTAACTGGAGTCCATGCTGCTTAATCTTTGCATTTTTAAGATGTTTAGATGTTTTATTAATAACTGATTCTCCTACCTTATTGATGTCATATTGTATTGCCTGTCTGTCTGTTTTATGTTGTTGTTGAAATTACAGAAGAGCAATACGTCTTCCATAAACCATTAGTTTTATAAGAAATTACGGCTTTATCGTTTCACAATACACATTGTCTGAAATGTTTTACCAAATTTCTGTTTAAATTAATCTCTACAAACAGATCAAAATGTAAAACAATGAAGTTCTTTGCAATTGAAAAGATGTTAGGCAAGTGTAGCGTCATGGAAATTATTTTTACCATCCAATTCTAGTGAATGATTGTCTGTTTCGTGAAAGATTGTAGAACACCCAATATAATATAAGGAATCCTGGTGTAAATAAAATTGACTTAGCTATGGAAACTTGTATCATAGTGATAATTTATAAGAAATTAGTTCTAAACATTTTGTTGTTATTTTTAAATATTTTTTTTACTTTACTTTCTAACAAGAAATTATTGTATACTTGTATTTTGGATTTTTCTATTATTTTTTATTAAAATTTGCTGTTACAAAATTCTAGAAATTATTTTAAACTAAGGAATATATCTCCCTCATGCAAAGCTCTGATGTCTTGCCCGGTTTTGGCTCTACTTTTTTTTCCATTTTGGATCATAGCTCTTCTTCTTTTTATTAAGCTTTGGATTTTAAAATATTTCGGCCTCCAGCATCACTGAAGAGACATTTATTGTCCAAATGCGCATCTGGTGCAGAAAAATTGGTACCATTAATGTTATTATTAATGATCTATAATGTTTTTATTAATGATCTACTGATATATGAAAAAGAATGATATAAATAATTTCCATCCGAAACAATGGCCTGAAATATCTATCTTAAACAAACAAATAATTATGACCCTTTAATATTATGTTTCCAACAATTTTAAAATGATTTTCATTCATCTAGGAAATAAATGTCAATTATCTATTCAAAAAATCAAAATAAAATTTAAGGTCATATGTAAGTATAAACAAAAAATGAGAGATTTTTTTCCTACCATGCCAAAATGTAGTAAATATTGGAATATGTTCAAATTTATAATAAAAATTATAGGTCACCGAACTTGATTTTAAGCTACAGGTTGTGAAAAATGACACATTTTGTATAAATTTATAACGAAAAAGCAGTATTATGGGAATAGAAGGAGAAAACTTTATTCTTTTGCTAGTAAAGTATGTTGTTATGAAGAAAGTCCAGTGTAATAAAAATATTCTCACCACTTTAAAAGTAAAATAACAAAAATACTGAACTCCAAGGAAAATTCAAAACGGAAAATCCCTTATCAAATGGCAAAATCAAAAGCTCAAACATATCAAACGAATGGAAAATAACTGTCATATTACTGACTTGGTACAGGCATTTCCTAATGTAGAAAATGGTGGATTAAACCTGGTTTTATAGCTAGCTTAACCTCTCACTTGTATGACAGTCGCATACAATTCCATTATAATCCACTGATCGACTTCAATTTTGACCCCAAACAAACACAAATAATTTTGAGCGCCTAGTAATAAGGAACACTAGTTTAAAAAAGTATGAATTTGCAGCAGTAGATTTCAAGCTACATGTTGTGAAAAATGACACATCTATACTACTAAAATAACGAGGTCCAATTTGTTAGCCGGCATGACGTAAAAACGACCAATCAAGGAATTCAACTTTATATATAACTTATATAGGACAATGGTGTTGATTAACAATTACACCATTCCAGGCCTTTTTTTTCCACATAATTGATATTACCAATAATTAACAAGTTCCGGGTCGAATCCGATACTGATACCAATATTATATGTCACATGCAGTTTCCGGTTGTAGTATGTTCTGTATCTTCCTCTTCTATTATGAGCACCACCATGGGTTACGGTGTAAAAGAGGAAATTTAACACACTGTTTCGGTTCAAATTTAATGTGAGCATTTGCCTACCCAGTTTCCCAGCATGGCCGTGACGGGTTTTACTACCAGAAAAATAACCTTCCCCCAAAACAATTAGTACAATGCAATAAAACATAAGAACACACACTCACCTGATTCGCCCATCCTCAAAGTATAAAAAATGCAAATTATAAAAACAATTATATAAAAAATAAGGGACAAGGTCACCCTAGATGCCGCACAAATGGCATGGCAACGAACGGGAAACCGCTAAGGACATACTTGGATTCCCAAGCTGTTTTCCTGGTAGAGGAAAGCCGAAAATCCTACGATAAAGGATCTCGGAAAGAAACTACCGATCCATTAGGGGGACAGCTAAAACCCTCAGATAGTTTCCCACATGGAAACAACTAATGGATCCCATGAACAAATGTCTCGTGTCTAAAACAAACCTGAAAATATCTGCAGAAAATTTCCTCAACAAAAAAATATAATCCAAAACATAAAATATACGATGTAGGGATAATAAAATTTATCCATGAAACAAATTTGAAAAAACGATTTCAAAGCTGTTGAAGGATTCTCTCTGCAAAATTTTCACGTCCACTCTCATCGGCATGCAAAATAACAAAACTAAGAAAACCAGGACGGCTTCAAATAGAAAGATTTTGAAAGCAGAAAAACTGTGCACCTTAAAACCAAATGACTTTATCAGATGACAATACGAATACTAAAGATCAAGGCTAAAAATAAGGCGTAGGTACTTTAATTTAGTCACGGACCCGCGATGTCGCGGTTGTGTTCTAGTTTTGTATAAAGTTAAAAAGCATTATTATGTGAATATAAGGTGAAAAGCTTTATCATATTGCTAGTTAAGGTGGTTGTTATGAAGAAAGACTCAATACCTAATCCACTCATCGACTTAATTTTTTCAATAAAAACAAACTCATGTAATCTAGTAATAAGGAATAGTAGTTTAAAAAGTATGAATTTGCACAACAGTATCATACCATCTGCCCCATCTTATGGGTATTACATATCACTATTAATATATTACGCTCGTAGAAGTTTACACTATGCTGATTCTATAACAGGGATGTGCTCCTTACACAAATACCGCTCCAATAGAGTTTTGAGGAAGAACGACTGAAATCGTCATTACATCTGTTTTACAGTTACCATCACGAATAGCTTGCCCAATACGATGTGTCAGTTTCTCATCTCACTAGCAGCATGTTGTCGCGGTCTGAGGTCTTTAGATATGAGTATCGTCTGATGGTTAATATTACCGATTTGTCCTATTCCAGATTTTGACTAAGTCTGAATTCGCATAGAGGGTGATACATGCATAGCAGGGTTTACTTTACCTAATAACGCAAATGATCTCGCTATTTTTGGTGTTCATACTATTCACTCAGTTTTTGATTTTTAGCTTGGTTGCTTGGTTTGTCTCTTCTTAATCGACTTGTCAGATTTGAAAATCGGTTTTATAACTGTCGCTTTAATTTAATGCATTGTATTTGTTCTTTTATGTTACGAATAGAACCTTACAAAAAAATTTTAAACACATAGATACCTTACGAAACATGGCCTTATACAAATTTTCGGCAAAACTTGAAGATACTTATACAACATATTTCTCTTGTTATCCAGTTTTTTTTTAATTTTTCAAAATATCTATTCAACGTGACATCAGTGGTTGAAGAATTCGTTTTATTTTGGCACTTTGAATTAAAATTATTGTAAATTTATGAAAAACAAAATTTTTGTGGCTTTGCCGTTTCAATCCATTTCATTATTTAACTTTCCTTGCAATGAAAATTCCATCATATGGAGTATGAAAACAAGATTAGACGTGAGTGTCAATAAAACTGATAAAATGAAAGACACGCGTCCATATATCAAACTTTTAATCCTCTCCAGGTCTTGCAAGTTTTTAAAGATTCATGTCTTTTACATGAATTTCAAAAGGAGCGAGACAGGGTGCACCTACAGGGTAAGCGTCTCATGTTAGTAATGCATCAACCGCCAAGCAAATTTGCAATCAGTCAAAATGTCACAATCAGAAATAGGATAAAAAAGCGGATTATTGACATTATAATTCGCTATTAGAATACAGTTTGGCTCAATTTTGTAAAAAATAAGCTCAAAATCATCGCTTGTTTATTTTTGTCTTGCAAGACAATAATTCGACATCATTTGGGTCCATATGGATACAACCTTTAAATTTACTCTTAGCTGGAGATGGTTGTGCTGAGCATGTCCAGTGATTAAAACGAATGTCAGCCGAAAAAGCGAAACTAGGGAAGACAGTTGAATATTTTTTAGCATCTAACTGTTTATTAAGTCGTACCAATTACCTGTTTCACAGTTGTCTCCTGTGTATCCTTTTGTGCAAGTACACACATATCCATTTATTTGGTCTAGACATATCCCATGGTTACACGGAGATGAGCCACACTCACCAATATCTTTAAAAAAAAATTATGGCACTTATATTGAGGTTTATTTAATGTTTGAAGTAACATCATAGTTGGTATAACTTATTAGAATACATAGACTTCAAAACTATAGAAATGTCTGGTCCTCCAATTTTTAGGCTTAATTAATTTTATGTCCGCACAAACAGGTGATTTGATTCAATTCCAAGTGGTAATAAAGCGGTTAGAGATGATCAAATGTTATTGTTTATATCAACTACAAAGTCTTGTTTTGAAATAGGAGACGGAAAGTACCAAACTAGTTTTATGTTTTTTAGATATTGACACACACACATGTTTTTCCAGTTTCCTCAAAGTTTAAGTAATAAATGGAGCAAATTCATAGTTTGACATAGTTGACAACTAGGAGATCTTAAGTCGTCTCTGTACATATATATGGGGATATACTAAGAAGTACCATGTTAAATTTCAATTGCCCTTTATATTTCTTTATTCTGCAAACCAAAACCTTGTAGGCGGGAAAATTTTGTTTGACAGTCTGTTAAACCATTTATTTTCTAATCAACAACTGTTCGAACGTCAAAATAAAATACCTTACAATGTATATGTAAATCTTCGCACAAAAAACCGTCAGATACAGTTCAATTTATGTGAACGTTTAAAACCTATTTACGATTGATGTGTTTGATTATCGGAACATAATTAACCTTACACTTGTACAATATCAAACAAGTTAGAAACTAACAGAAAATTTGTCACGAACATATACATAAATAAAACATTTTACTGTAACAGCTACACATTTTAGACTTCTCGTCACTTTCATTTGGATGAATAATAACGACATCGCCATTTTAAAAATAAACATCCATGCATGGGCATTCAATAAAACTAATATATATAATATATATACAACCAAACTTGCAAACCAAATCTTTGTATATATGGAAGAATTTGGTAAAGGTTTTAAGTAATTTGTGGTAACGAAATGCCTGACTTAAAAATTTACCAGTAATACATATATTACGCTCATCGAAATCCAAAACGTCACTACAGACACGGGCATAATGAACGAGTTGGGATATATAAACATCGTAAGATGGTGCCAGAGGAACATCACCGTCCAAAAAAGGAAAATTAACAATAGGGAGAGAAAAAACATCCTCTTTTTCGTAAATTTTTGTATAGAGTTTCTGGTGTAAAACTGAAATATCTAAATCTAGGAAAGGACACTTATTGCTGTTAATATTTGATTTATTCAAAGTAAGTTGCTGTGGGTAAATTTCGGCAGTATATTTAGAGAATTCTTGATTATTTAACGAAAAAATATCATCAAGATAACGGTAAGTGTTGTTGAATTTATAAATTAAATGGAATTTATACGGGTCTTTACTGAATTTGGCCATAAACAGTGATTCATAACAGTATAAGAACAAGTCTGCCATTAAAGGGGCACAATTGATGCCCATAGGAATACCTACAATCTGTCGATAAACTTTATTGCCGACACGTACATAAATGTTGTCAAGGAGAAAATGTATGGCTGTAATCATATCATCACACCTCCAATAAGTATTTCTAGCATATTTACCTTTCTTGTTTGAGAAAAAGGCTTTATATGAGTTGCAGCAAATAAATTTGTAATCAGATTTATCGAACGACCATTTAATTGAATAAGATTGTGTGGAAGTGTAGTGTGAAGAGTGGAAAAGTCAAAACTGTCAACCGAATCAAAAGGACCATCAAAAGCACGTAATTTATCTAAAACATCCAAAGATTTTTTACACTCCAAAAATGGTTAATTCCACTATTTTCATATGTTTTATTACAAAAAATAATGATCAGTTGTTTGATAGTAGTCAATGAACTCGTTAAAAGCACTGAAATTCTAGTAGAAGAACACTTACTAGAGGCCGAGATAAAACGATACTTTACTGGTTTTTTGTGTCGTTTAGGTAACCAATACATAGTGAGGACCTTCAAATGTTCAGAAGAGGCCTTAAGCTGAGCTGTGGTTGTGACATGCTTATTTACTATATGACTCTCTGTGGAGCGTACGGCCTTGAATGTAGTTAAATGTATAATTTCATTCTTAAGGACTTTCGTGTAGTATTTACGGTATACCACCACCGCATTGCTGGCTGCTTTGTCGGTTGGTACGAACAGAAAACGCTTTGCAAGTACTTGAATTTTGTTTTTAATCCTAGAAATAGACGTATTACTTATTCTTATATTCATTTCTAAATTATTTCTGAAATGTGATATGCGAATATCAACAATATTGAGACATTTATTCAAACAGGAATCAAGTGACTTTTTGTCAGATTTCTCCCGTTTACACCATTTTTACAATAGAATGAAAAAGCATCTTTAATAACCTGACGGCACTCTTCCCAATTTATTTTCGACGGTGGACGACATTTTGGTCCTTTTTTCAGAAAGTTTATAACCTCTCTGTCTTGGGCGATATTGAGGTCCCCTGTATTTACATGGCCATAGGGATCATATATAAATTTTTATGTTTTACAGTCTCATGCCGAAGGAGCATTATTTTCTATGCTGACGTCTGATGTAACTGACGTATAATTAAAAATTAAACTTCTACTGGTTTTTTTATACGAATAAGAAATTATAGGTGGCTCTATGTTATCAAAATATGGAGGTATTAAGTTTTGAACGGTAGAGTCATGAAAATACTAGACAAATTAATAAAATCAATACCTCTATTAATGTATTTTATTTTTATGAAATACTTTTTATGATCGTCAGGTTAGTCAATTTGAGGGAACAGTCTATGGTGACAAAAGGCTGTAATAATTCGTGTATACTCATATTTTTGACTGAAAAACGATACTGTATTACACTCGTTATAAATATTATGTAATTTACTAATTGGTATTTGACCCAGGTTACATAATAATTGATGTCTACCATTGTTTTTAATTGGATATAAGAAGATGTGGTATGAGTGCCAATGAGACAACTTACTATCCAAGTCAAAATTTATAAAAGTAAACCATTATAGGTCAAAGTACGGTCTTCACCACGGAGCCTTGGCTCACACCGAACAGCAAACTATAAAGGGCCCCAAAAATTACTAGTGTAAAACCATTCAAACGGGAAAACCAACGGTCTAATCTATATAAAAAACGAGAAACGAGAAACACTTACAAACCACATCAACAAACGACAACTACTGAACATCAGATTCCTGACTTAAATATAGATAAAAAATCATCAAGTGTAAGATTAGAACAATGTTTATTTCGTTGATTGCGGTTAATGCGTTTGCCATGAGACCTATGATTGCGTTGTCTTTTATCAACAATGGTCATGATATCAAAAGAGAATGTTTTAGATAAGTTCCCTTGGCCAATAATATTGTCATTTAGACCTAGGGGATACACTGTCTGTAGTCGTTTAATCCAAGACAGTTCGCAAAGTTTTCGAAAATCTTATAACTGTTTATGTGACTGTCCTGGTTGTTTCTGGACGGTTTGAAATGGTTGGATTTTATAAATTTATTATTGTGATTGTGTTTTTCTAAATGTTGGTAAATTAAACTTTTGAATTTCTTAGGTCTGCGGAAGCGGTATAGATGTTCTTGTTTTCTTTTGAAAAATTCACGTCCTATAATATAAAAATAAGGAGATGTGGTATGATTGCCAATGAGACAACTATCAACCAAAGTTCAAATGAAGTGAATGTAAGCAATTACAGGCAACCGTATGGCCTTCAACAATGAGAAAACCCCATACCGTATGGTCGGCTATAAAAGGCCCCGACATGAAAAATATGAAACAATTCAATTGAGAAAACTAACGGCCTAATTTATAACAAAACAATTTACGAAAACCAAATATGACAGAAATGAACCAACGACAACCACTATAAGGCTATTTATGCCAGATGTAAAAAGAACTTAATGTTTGAAATAGTTTTAACATCTTATTGATGGTTAATTAACAGAAAATGACATACTAGTAATTCATGCCAGCACAGAAGCGAGGACTTCTATACACAGCTCTTCATAAAATTGCATATCATGGCCTTTTGGCTTTAAATATCCCGGCCTTATTAAATATGAACCGGTCTGTTCATACTGGGAAATTTCAACTTTGAAATGAGAAATTTTATCAACGAAATGTCCCTATCAGTCTTTCGTAGAAACCACACATATACAATCCGATTAAACGAATTTTGAGATTTTCGTCATATCATCGACATAAATTAGTTCACTACGATCACTAAAAGCTTCATGTTGCGCCTTCCAGCTGATATTTTACAGTACCAATATTCAGAAATCCGTACTTATTGATATATGTAATTTAGCTTGAAATTAAAGTGAACATATTTTACTTAGATAAGGAACTAATTGAAATGCTACGACAGCAATTACGTACCCAGCTCACAGTCAGTGCCCCTGTATCCAGGATTACACATGCAGGAATACCCATTGATATAATCTTGGCAAGTTCCTTGGTGACAAGGAGATGAATTGCATTCATTTATATCTAAAATGTAAAATGTTATATATTTCTAACTTGTTTAGACATCCATGATCTCTGTATTTATCAAATGTTATTTTTGTTTCAGCGATAGAACATTGTGTCTGTTTGATTGAGAGGTATTTAATTTTCTGTATTTTATGAGATCTTAAATTCATTATGTGTCATGCTAAAACAGAAATGTGTAGAAGAATAAAGATTGAACTGCTGATAGCAATTATAGAAGATCTCATAACTAATGAAGCTTTACATATCTATAGCTCAAGGGTATTTTATACGAAATTAAAGTTGACATATTTTACTTAGATAAGGAACAAATTGAAATGCTACGACAGCAATTACGTACCCAGCTCACAGTCAGTGCCCGTGTATCCAGGATTACACGTGCAGGAATACCCATTGATATAATCTTGGCAAGTTCCTTGGTGACAAGGAGATGAATTACATTCATTTATATATAAAATGTAAAATGTTATATATTTCTAACTTGTTTAGACATCTATGATCTCTGTATTTATCAAATGTTATTTTTATTTCAGCGATAGAACATTGCGTCTGTTTGATTGAGAGGTATTTAATTTTCTGTATTTTATGAGATCTTAAATTCATTATGTGTCATGCTAAAACAGAAATGAGTAGAAGAATAAAGATTGAACTGCTGATAGCAATTATAGAAGATCTCATAAATTATGAAGCTTTATATATCTATAGCTCAAGGGTATTTTATACGAAATTAAAGTTGACATATTTTACTTAGATAAGGAACTAATTGAAATGCTACGACAGCAATTACGTACCCAGCTCACAGTCAGTGCCCGTGTATCCAGGATTACACGTGCAGGAATACCCATTGATATTATCTTGGCAAGTACCTTGGTGACAAGGAGATGAATTGCATTCATTTATATCTAAAATGTGAAATGTTATATATTTCTTCTAACTTGTTTATAGACATCTATGATCTCTGTATTTATCAAATGTTATTTTTATTTCAGCGATAGAACATTGTGTCTGTTTGATTGAGAGGTATTTAATTTTCTGTATTTTATGAGATCTTAAATTCATTATGTGTCATGCTAAAACAGAAATGTGTAGAAGAATAAAGATTGAACTGCTGATAGCAATTATAGAAGATCTCATAAATAATGAAGCTTTATATATCTATAGCTCAAGGGTATTTTATACGAAATTAAAGTTGACATATTTTACTTAGATAAGGAACTAATTGAAATGCTACGAAAGCAATTACGTACCCAGCTCACAGTCAGTGCCCCTGTATCCAGGATTACACGTGCAGGAATACCCATTGATATTATCTTGGCAAGTTCCTTGGTGACAAGGAGATGAATTGCATTCATTTATATCTAAAATGTAAAATGTTATATATTTCTAACTTGTTTAGACATCTATGATCTCTGTATTTATCAAATGTTATATTTGTATATTATTATCTTTTATCAGTATCGTTGCACAAAACGTTAGACATATATATCTTTTCCGCAAGTTTATTGTTTTCTGTTTGGTATATTATTAATAAATTAAGATCCATTTTTACATCTGGTGATCTGTTTATTTGGCAATCGCCATGGCAGTCAGCAGGGTTTAAGAACATCCGTTGTTCGACCTGCTAGTCAAATGCGTTTTGTTAAAATATACTTTTTCACTTTTTTGGTCTTTTGGAAAATGTTGTTTGTGCTGTATTTAGACCACTCTACCAAGAAATTTGATTTGCATGCACACGTATAAAAATTGCGGTTTTTATCCAACGCAATCATAGGTTTGAACGTTGTTTTTAATTTAGACTTGTTTATATTTTTTTGTTTGGGCTTGTATTATATTTGCCTTCGGGTTTATATGATCCGTTCATCCTATTTTGACTCTTCAAAATTCAAGAGTCAATCCCAAATTGAGGTAAATTATATGGCCTTCCAAATACCGTTTCGATTCCTAACATCACTGAAGAGACATTTATTGTCGAAATCCGGATATGGTGTACAAATTTTTGCACCTTATGTTTGCGGTATACCATCTTTTCCGCAAGTTTATTGTTTTCTGTTTGGTATATTATTAATAAATTAAGATCCATTTTTACATCTGGTGATCTGTTTATTTGGCAATCGCAATGGCAGTCAGCAGGGTTTAAGAACATCCGTTGTTCGACCTGCTAATCAAATGCGTTTTGTTAAAATATATTTTTTCACTTTTTTGGTCTTTTGGAAAATGTTGTTTGTGCTGTATTTAGACCACTCTACCAAGAAATTTGATTTGCATGCACACGTATAAAAATTGCGGTTTTTATCCAACGCAATCATAGGTTTGAACGTTGTTTTCAATTTAGACTTGTTTATATATATATATATATATAGATTGCCTAACAATGTAATTTAAACACACTATTTAGTATGTAAATATAAAAATGTTTAAAATATTTACAAAATGATGAAAATAAACGCAATATTTCGCTAGACTAACTAGCTTTATCAAGCGTGCATCTATCCAGGTGAAATCGGATGTAGATGATAAGAAACTTTTGCCGCTCAATGTACATGTTGCACTTAAATTTAGCTGCCTTGAAAATAATACATAATTTGGATGAAGTTCAAGATTTTTACAAAATTGGTAGTTGAAGTTAGCAACGTCCATTGGCCAATATTACAGGATAAAAAGGACGATGCTGTGTACTTAATTATTTTTTTTATCTTTCCTTTATCTTTTCTCATCTTTTTCGTTAAGACCATCAGGTTCTAAAGTGTGGAGTTGGTGGATCCAAAAATGTTCTCTTCTCCTTCTCGCCGTGGTGTCCCACTCGGTGTTGACTTTGATTTGGAAGGTAACATTATCAAAAGAATGTTTCGTTGAACGAAGATGTCTTGTGAGAGGACAGTTTTTGTTGGTTTTGTACCATGAACGATGGTTATTGAGCCGAATATTAAATTTGTCCATTGTTTCTCCCACATACTGAATGCCACATGTGTCACATGTTAATATATAAATTGAGTTCTCCGTTTTACAGTTGGAATTTGAGAAAATGGTATAATTTTGTTTAGTAACGGAGCTGATGAAAGAACTGCTTGTATTAGCAGCTTTACAACACAAGCAGTTCCTTCGACCACATTGTTTGTAGCAACCGGAAGATGGAGTAGGCTGCTTTGCTAATACAGATGTCACTAATTTGTCACGGATGTTTTTAGGTCTTCTTACATACTAAATAGTGTGTTAAAATTACATTGTTAGGCAATCTATAATTTTATTTGTGTAATTGAATTAATCTCTGTACTGATTAATCCACACTCCCATAGATTTGTATGTCATGTGCTGCTATTTATAGGCACTTATATATATATATATATATATATTTTTAGGAAAGAAATTTTGAGGTTATCATACGTTCTTCAACGATTGACAAGAGTCCATATATCATGTTTCAAATCCTCTAAAGGTCTTAAAAACGTTTTGAGGTTTATGTAATTCTTATATATAATTTTTTTATACTGTTCCAAAGTGAACATAACATATTTTACCAATTTCACAATTAATTCCAGTAAATCCGGCATTACAAGTGCATGTATAACCATTCACCTGATCTTTGCAGGAACCGTGTGTACATGGAGTAGACATGCATTCATCTAAATCTGGAAACAGTAAAGATTCTTGATGGTCTTTATAAATGCAAATTGAATTCTAAATTATATAATGCTAAAAACGCTGACAATCTAATATTCACAATATATAAGTTAAATAATGTCGATTGGGCAGACATGCGTACCTACGGTGTTGATTGATTAATGATAGTTGTTTGTTTAACGTGCCATGGTAAAATGTCAGGCATATTTTGGACAAAAACGAATTAAAAATAAATAGATGGGTTTACTTAGTGCTACGACCGGGATTTAGGGTTGAAAACGTTGCCTGCAATGGAAAACGAGTATGTTGAATGAAAGCAGAAATTTTGCCTCGCAACCGGGTATAACCAGAGCACTCAATCAGTTCCTGCAATAATTCTTTACCATTAAGCTAGGTTAACACTGCCGATCAGATCAACTCGATGATCCCGATCGTCCAAATTTCCACGACCAAGCGTAATCAAGTTCTTGATCGGGCCTGTTTACGACTTCTACCCGACTGCAATCCGACTGTATACGACTTTAACTCGACCATTCCCGAGTCCTTAATCACTCCATCACGACTCCAACCCGACCACTAATTGAATAGATATTCGATAATTCCGACCAATTCACGATCTCTACATGATCTTTACTCGACTAGCTAGACCAAATCAACTATACTTGATCTCAGCCTGATCTCCACCAGACCAGATCGACCTGATCGTATAGGGGTTGTAAAGAAAGTCGGGAATTGGTCGGGTTTGTACAATTTCAGTATAAAAACGTCTGATGTTTTATGCCCCGCCGTAGCGGAGGGGGCATTAAGTGTTACCCTTGTCCGTCTGTAAGTACGTACGTACATCCCAACAATTAGTTTTCATTCTCTAATTTTATTTTGCCTCAACCAAATTTTATGAAACGTATACACAATGCCTATAAATAAAACACAGATCATGTGCGAATTTGGATGGCGTCACTATTACTGTTCTCTTGAGTAATGACCCTTTATAACGTTATATGCATGCAAGCTGGGGCATTATCTGTGTCCAATGGACACTATCTCCGTTTCTTTGGTTATATTCAGTAGTTCACAGAAGGTCTGAGTAAAATCATACATTTATCATATCTACATGGAAATAAAGCAGTTGGATTTGTGGGCAAGGTATTTAGAGCTCAGAGAGCCATGTTAATAGCAGAGACGGAGCTTGAAGAGAGCGTAAAAGACAAACAAGAAGGCGTTACGGTAGACAGAACGGGCGCCTCGAGAAATCTTGGTGAGGCAGTGGCTGATTCGGCTGCCAATGTGTGGGCAGTATGAGAGACTTGCAGGAGCTCAACAAAGAGGACCCCAATGGTTATGAAAACTTCCTCAGCGTGGACGCTGATATGTTATGGAAGTTTTACTGCTCTTTTCTTGAAAATAACACCAGGAAATGAGATTTGTCAATGGATTAGCACTTATGTTAGATAGCAATATAAATAAATTTTACCATCCCCTTTACTTGCTTTCTTTTAAATTAAGCGTACTGTTGTGTCATATATGTGCATATTTATGTAATAAGTATTTTCCATAGATTTGATATCCAGTAGTTGAATGGTTAAAGATATTTCTTTTTGGTGTATCCATGGCAACAACCTGCATGTATTTCCAAAAACTATATTGCAAAAAGGGGGTAAAGATGTAACATATTTCCCCAAAATTTGGCCAAAAGTAGAATTTCAATCCCCTGGAGTGATACCTTTTCTGAAAATGTTTACATGTACATATATCTATCAAGAGATTAAATAAAAATCATTTGTCTTTCGTCTCATTTTTGTGTAAAATTGCGTGTGAAAAAAGTTTTTGTAAACGTTTGACCGTACGGTGACCTATAGTTGTTAATTTCGGTGTCATTTGGCGTCCTGTGGAGAGTTGTCTCATTGGCAATTATACCACATCTTCTTATTTTTATACTACAAAAATTTCTGGACATACGGAAAATACAGACAGTCAAACAGAAAATAGCCCATAAAACAGGTAAAAAATAATCTGTGGGTTCTTATAAACCCACTTTGAAGGCTAAATTAGTCATCTGCTGTCTAATAATGTATTTTATTGCACTTTATATTTGAAAAATCCTCCGGGGCCAAAATGCAGGATCTCTTTCCCTGCCGGAAGATCTGAGATCATCCCATGTTTTGTTGAGTTTGTTTTTCTAAGTTTTTAGTTTTTTATGTTGTGTTATATGGACCGGTGTTTGTCTCCTCTTCGGTTTTCGTTTTTCGCAATGGCTGTGTCGGTTTGTTTTCGACCTTTGAGTTTGATTATTCCTTTGGTATCTTTTGCCTCTCTTTTAAAATTGTACCCCTCCTTGCAAAAGTACAGACAAGTTAAAATTAAATAGTGACAATATATTTTTGCGAAAGCAAAGTTATGAGATTAAATCAGATCTTCACACACTTTTAGAGAATCGTGTAGCAGTCATGTGTTATCTTGTATGGCCGAGTAGAGATCGAAGAGTGGTCGAATGTGGTCAAGTAGAGATCGGGTATCGGTCGAGTTGGTCTGGGATAAAAAAAAATATAGAAGTCGCAGTGATCTGGAAGCGAGCGGGAATTGGTCGAGTTAATCTGGACCATGGATCAAACAGGTTGGCGTTGATCGGGAAATGATCGGATATTAGTCGAGCAAAGGTCGAGATGATCGAGTACTGATCGGTAAAATATTTGCATTCCGACCAAACTCGATCTCTACACGATCCTTTACCGATCAATTCGACCACTACTCGACGAATTCTCGATCTCTTCTCGAGTGACTGGCTTCTCGATCCTTACTCAATTTTTTTTGCTACGTCAAAAATTCTCGGGTAGAAAGTCAGATCGATGACGACCAAGGTAGATAACCCCGAACATTCTAGTCGATTGAGTCAGACCAGTCTCCCGATCACTTAATCTGTCTTGATCGGGCTTGATCGAGTTGATCTGATCGGCAGTGTGAACCTAGCTTTAAGAGAGCGTGTACTGTCCCGACATGCGTCATTAGATTTAACGTCCCCATTCCAGTCTTACTTGGCTGCATATGTATACAACATGTCAGTTAACTGCTAGTAGTCTGTTGTTATTTATGTATTATTGTCATTTTGTTTATTTTCTTTGGTTACATCTTCTGACATCAGACTCGGACTTCTCTTGAACTGAATTTTAATGTGCGTATTGTTATGCGTTTACTTTTCTACATTGGCTAGAGGTATAGGGGGAGGGTTGAGATCTCATAAACATGTTTAACCCCGCCGCATTTTTGCGCCTGTCCCAAGTCAGGAGCCTCTAGCCTTTGTTAGTCTTGTATTATTTTTAATTTTAGTTTCTTGTGTACAATTTGGAGTTTAGTATGGCGTTCATTATCACTGAACTAGTATATATATTTGTTTAGGGGCCAGCTGAAGGACGCCTCTGGGTGCGGGAATTTCTCGCTGCATTGAAGACCTGTTGGTGACCTTCTGCTGTTGTCTGTTCTATGGTCGGGTTGTTGTCTCTTTGACACATTCCCCATTTCCATTCTCAATTTTATTCCTCACAGCATGGACTGCTTTCTTTTCCACCCCTTTTCAATAAAAAATTTCGATTTTACTTTACTGGTTGCGTTTTTTGGAGAGATTTCATTATCCAAATGCTCATAAAAAACAATGAATAGGAAATACTACGCTGTATTGTAATGCCAATACATGCACAATATTTGTCCAAAAGTTCTTGAAGGCATTTGTTGGGCTTGACTTTGTAACATGTTAAAATATTTATATCATATTGACATTATCTGCTAATATTCAATAAATTTTATTTATATGTTTTTAAAATACATGAACATCGTTCCGTGCATTGTGATACTACACTTAAAAAGCAACAACAAAATGTCTATGCATTGACTAAACCGTCATAAAAACAGGAAAGGCGAAACCCTTTAGAAAAAAGCTACTTTCTCCAGAAAACTCCATGTAATAACATAAAAGGCAAAGAAGCCTTGCTAAGTGAAGGATCAAGAGCCCTCCTTTTTTTACATAAAAGCAAATACTCATGGGCATAATATCTTGTAATAAAAGTGGACCTTCAATTTCAAAATCCTAGATCCTCCAAAGCTGAATATTGTTCGACCCATTTTTCTACAAGAGTACCTTTCATATTTTTTTAATTAACCCTTTTCTGAACATCCACAGAATTCAAACAGAACTCGTAACTTTCATTGTGTGTCTGTAATTCTAAAAACGTTTTTGAAATTGCCCAATATTTTAGGAGGCATGGACTTATATGTTATCCTCGTTTTTACGTTAATTCTAATATGGCATATGTTTACAAGACGATCGATGCAGGCTCATAAGAGCCTTTAGTTATTTATTGTCATCAGTACGACCTGAAGTTTATTTTTGTCGAAAGATTATTACTTTTTTGGACAACTTTTCAGTGACATCTAGTTTTTTGTTCACAAAATTAATAATAAGAAAGTTATCCGTCTCCCCTGTAATTGCTGCGCCTATGAATGAAAATTTGTAGTTTCAGAATTTGCGATATTTTACAGTTTATGGGGATGTAGAGTCGTCAAAAGTTGTAGAGATGACCATTTTCGATGACTAGATATAACATATACACAAATATAAGGTCTCGATATTACTTTAGAGCTAAATAATTCACATATAAGGATGAGGTGAACGCCGCTTACGGAGTCAGTATACATCATGAATGACGAAGTAACTATTTATTGTCTATAACAGTATAAGAATATTCATAGTCTTTGTGGTACTAAACGCAGTATATAATCATTGTAACGAGTACATGTAATAACGTCGATACAACTCCAATTCAAAATAAACTGTTTACAAAACTACTCGTACATTCTTTTGATTGAGTTCAGCCATTTCAATTGATATTTTATAGTGTGTCTTTCTATGTTGTGATGTTACACTATTGTTTCAGATAAGGGTGAAGGTTTGGTAACATTTAAACGTTCAAACCCGCTGCAAATGCTTAAAAAAGTATGGAAAACCTACTCTGTCCCACGT